ACGTTTTTATTTTTATTTTTGGGACAGAGAGAGACAGAGCATGAACGGGGGAGGGTCAGAGAGAGAGAGGGAGACACAGAATCTGAAACAGGCTCCAGGCTCTGAGCTGTCAGCACAGAGCCCGACGCGGGGCTCGAACTCACGGACTGTGAGATCATGACCCGAGCTGAAGTCGGACGCTTAACCGACCGAGCCACCCAGGCGCCCCCGTGTCATTTTTTAAATACAGAAATATATGTCTGTTTCCCAGGGGCAGAATTTCTTCATGATTCAGGCAGTGCAAGCCTTTAGGGGTCTTTTCCTCATGCGGATGAGAACAGGGGCCCTGACAAGGCCAGTCCAAAGTGACCAAGTGTTGCGGTCACAGTGAGTGACCAAGAATGACGGGGCTCTCGATACCACCATGACGCCTCCTGCCCAACAAAGCAGGATGGGCGGTGGAAAGCTGGCCCCCTCGTGTCCTGCTGGAGCGGGCCAGCCCCTGGAGCCATCCCTCCCGTGCCCCGAGTGAACATCTCAGAAATGCAGGGCTCTCTCTAGTGTCCCCGCCCCCCCCAACACCAAATCACAGCTTATCATCAGCCTCTGCTTTGGGGAAAACAAGTCATGGAGGGGGAGGGGCATGACGCCAGAACCCCTACTTCTCAAAGCCCCTCCTCTCCAAGCGGCCCTGGGGCTGTGACCAAAAGAACGGTGTCGCCAGACTTTTCATTGAAATAGAAACACCCGGAAAGGCACACACTGAAACTGCTCTTCACCAGGAAAGTTCCAGAGGGGTCTGCAGGCTGACCTGACCACGCACAGTGCCTTCACAGCCTGCCCAGGGCCCGTGCTGAGGACACAGGGAACCCTTAGGCATCACAGGTGATGCTGTGAGTTTTGGAGACTGAGTGCCACCCCCACGTGGTGCCGCGGCCCCTCCCTTTGCCGCTTATGAAGCAGGTCCCCCCCCCTCCCCCGAACAGCCCTGTTCACACATCAGCAGAGTGCAAGAAGTCACCGGTCCACACCGCTGGGGAGAAAGAAAGCCACTGTCGGGAAAGAGCATGTCTGCAGGCAGCGATGTGCCTCCACTAAGACGTGACCTGTGGCACGTCTGGAACCCAAATTTAACCGGGCGTCCTCTAGCTTTATTTGCCAGATCTGGCAGCCCCCCCATCTGTCTGCTTGACCCCTCTCCCCGAGAAACAAGGTCACGCCAGACCTCCTTCCCAGGAGCGGGGCACGGCCTTGGTGAGCAGGCCCCCCCTTGCAAGGGGACCGGGCCACACCAGGCCGGGCCAGGGAAGAGGGTGGGCCAAAGCCCCCTCAGGAGGGGGAAGTGGGGTGGATGCGGGGCCCGGGCTGTGGACCCCCCTCTCTCCCTCCTCCTGCAGCCTCAGCAGGGGTCTCTGCACCACCACCACCACCACCCTGCCCCCCGCCACGCGCTCTCCCTCCACACGGCAGGTCCTGCCAGCCCTGTCTCGGACCCCGAGCCGCGCTTCTTTGCCAGGATCCTTCTGTGATCACCACACCTGTGTCTGTGGAACATTCTCAGGCCTGGGCCCGGTTGGTTTCAGGCTCGTGCAGCCCTGAGGGCTCGGCCGGTGATCTGCTGTGTCCTGTTCCCGCCGGCAAGGCTTCGTGGCCTTGTCTGTGCCACTGCGCTGGCCCAAGGCTGCCCCGGCCCGAGGGGAGCAGCCCAGAGAGGGCACAGGGGGCCTGGCAGGGGCCCCCCCGAGCCGCCCGCAGGGCCATCCCCACCCCGGCTCCTGGCCAGGACAGGGATATGGAGCAGCGTGCAGACCTCGGGCCGGGAGGCATCAGAGGGGCACAGCCACGGCGGGCATCCCAGGCAGGCTCCGATCTTACGCAAAAGACACCATTAAGACTTTCACAGGAGTTGCACTGAATCCGTAGATCACTTGGGACAACACTGACATTTTAACAAGATTTTCTCCAATCCATGAATATGGGATACTTCAACCTACTTATGTGTTTTAAAATTCTTTTTTTTTTTTTTTTTTTACAAAGTTTTATAGTCTTCATTGCACAAGTCTTGTATTTCCTTGGTAATTCCTGAGTATTTTATTCTTCTTGATGCCGTTATAAACAGGATAAATTTTATATTTTGTATATTTTAGCGCAATTTAAAAGAGAGACAGGGCTGCCTAGGTGGCTCAGTCGGTTGAGTGTCCAACTCTTGATTTCAGCTGAGGCCGTGATCTCACAGTTCGTGAGTTTGAGCCCCCTGAGCGTGGAGTGGAGCCCACTTAAGATTCTCTCTCTCTCTCTCTCTCTCTCTCTCTCTCTCTGTCTCTGTCTCTCAAATAAGCGGCACCTGGGTGGCTCAGTCAGTTAAGCATCAGACTTCGATTCAGGTCATGATCTCGCGATTCACGAGTTTGAGCCCCGCATTGGGTCTGTGCTGACAGCTCGGAGCCTAGAGCCTGCTTCGGATTCTGTGTCTCCCTTCCTCTCTGCCCCTCCCCCCCAAATGAATAAACATTAAACAAATTTAAAAAATAAAATAAATGGTTAATTACAACGAAGATAGATAATAGGTAGGTAGACCAATCGATCGATCAATCTTACACTCCAGGGATGGAGACAAGTAACACAGGCATCGAAATGGTGGGGTAGGTGCACAGAGGGCAGACTGGGCTGTGCAGGGATACCATGGATGGTCGCACAGGTGGTACACTGCACAACTCCAGAGGGTGCCGCTCACATCTACTATGATGTTGTTTCGGGCAGGAGAGGCTCGTTATGCTGCATAACACGTGACCCCACAATCTCCTTGACTGCTAGCAATAAAGATTTCTTTCCTGCTCACTCTGTATGTCCATCCAGGTTGGCTCTGATGGCATCTCTCCAGCCTCCAGGCTGAGGCAGGAGCCTCTCTCTGGAATACTGTGGTCCCAGGGCCACTCCGCTGGCTCCCTAAAGCTCCTCCACTCATATTTCATTGTCTAAGGCACGCCCCAAACGTGTGCCAAAACCCACAATCAGTGGGGTGGGAAGGGTATCTGTCCCCAGAGAGGGGCAGCCTCCCCCAAATGTTAGAAGACCCTTGGGAATCACACACATGACAGGCCTCCCTGGAGGACACCCCTAGGAGGGGCCCCAGCAGGGAGAGGAGAGGGAAGGAAAGCTTCGTGCAGGAAAGTACACCCGGATGGCCACCGGCCAGTGG